CGCAATATATAAAGACTCAGTCCGAGACGTTCAAAGTATAATGTAGTCTGTCTACAATAGTGGAAGTGTCAACATAGCTATCTTCTCTTAGGAGAAAATCAGATAGTGTTTTACGTAATATTAACTTAAACTTCTTCTTTTTTAATTTACGCAAATTGCTCGGTATCGTATTCCATAGCCTAGCTCCAAATCTTGAGAATGAATTTGTTTGTACTTCCAGTTGAGATTTTTTAATGTGGAGGTCACTCTGTAATACCGTACCTATATAGGGTTCTAAATTGTTAACATTGTGTTATTCTAGAWCCATCAAGGTATTTCTGTCGTCTGTCATAGCACTGCGTGAAAAGAACTGGGGGCGTGAGACAACACCGGTGCCTGTTGCTAACTCAACCTCATCAACTTTGTCTGCTGATGCAGCTCCCTTTCAGTTTCCATATAGCAGTACTTTAGATCCAACACAAAATGCTGATGAAGAGGTACAGTAAWTACATGCACCACTGACTTCAAGTGCAGTGAATTGCTTTGTAATCTTAACAAACGATGGTGGCATGGTATTGGTACAAAGGTGGATCCTAAACATTTTAGAAATGAGGATTTCATATACCTTTAGAAAAGATCTTAACAGTTAATTCTAAGACTTTAAGCCATGGTGGACTAGAATGCTAAAACATTATTAGTGGCAATAATAATAATAACAATAATAATAATCTTTCTATTTCTACTTTGATTTGAGAGTAGTAGAGACTACTAATATCTCCGAGTCCACTCACACGCACTACCACAACATTTGAATATTCTATACACACAACTCTCAACTCACATGTTGATTTTTACGGAGGGAGGGAAACAAAGGCAAGGCTTGCATCTTGGTGTTAAAACGTTTTCTTTTCACCACTTTTTGAGCCTTACCGGCCATGTTTAACTAGTGGCTGTTCACACCATGGGCACAGCTTACTAATTTGCAGACCTTGTTTCACTAAACAACCTTGGGAAGGTAGTTTTAATCCTGTKTAAAGATGGCAGMCAAACAAGGAAGGACGTAGGATAGAGAAACTAATAACTCACTAAGGCTACTTGGTGTGAACAGGGTATACTACGAAAATCATTGAACTGTGGAAGTAAGGCCTGAGTTTTCTTATGACAGCCTTGCTCATGTTTGGAAATTTATAAATGAAAATTGGTGGGGCAATGATACAAAAGTGGATGTGGTTGTCATAAGAAAACTCGGCCAATTCCATAGTGTAATGATTGTTATAGTACTTGTTGATATATCTGCCCCTTCCACCTCCCCAGCTTAGATCCACCTACGTGGTACCATCACTAGTAACTTTAATATTCCATCAAATGCTAAACGATTTATATGATTCCTAGGATGTATATTATCCTCCTGATGATCTGTTGGATTATTATGAAGACATAACACCTGTCTATAACCCAGGTAACGCTAACCAAACTCTACAATAGTGTGTGTGCAATCGTGACTCAAAATAAAGAGCCTATATTTAAAGAAAAYCTCCTATATTTCCTATAAATAGGACGACTGCTGATTGATACATCTATATTTTACACTGTTTAGCACATTTGGCGAAGGAAATAAAATGGCCCTTTTTTTATTATTATTATTTTGGTTCTGTTTTTTTTATGGCTTTTTAGTTCTGCCAATTATTGCCTGTGCACCCTCCCGATCCCTGGTTACGCCACCGAAAAGCTATCTTAGCTCCTATAAAGTGCATATATTTTTGGGAAAAAATCCTATATTTTCCTATATTTAGAACTTGCAYAGGCTATATTTCCTATCAAATTTGTCTAAAAAGTGGCTGGRATGCCTGCAGATATCTCTTTCAGCCATATTGCGTTTTCGCTAAAACAAATCTGCAGCCCAATGATTTATGATTCATTAATTTTCAACGTAACCACGGAAAGGCCAATTTCGGTTACTGAACTTTTAGTCAGGAGTGTAAGGTGGGGTAAGGGGAGGGAGAGAGAGGACAAAAGGATTCCTGGAATATTTAATACATCTCCAGTACTCCCTTCCCATTTTGAGGTGATGTCTGTCAGTCTTTATTTTTCGAAGAAAATAAATTGAATAAAGCAATATTTGTTGAATTTTCAGACCAATGGAATGAGTATTGTGAAGACAACAGTGAACCAGACGACAATTACTATCAGAATGATAACGGGTAAGTTTAAGTATTGCTATAGTGAAGAGGGTCTTTAACGTTTTTTTTTTTCTGCTTCCGCAAATAGACTTATCGAATTGGTTGTAAAACATGTTAGGCTCTCCGTCCACCCAAGAGTGGTAAATGCGATTAGAAGATGGCGGCATTATCTACGAAGTAGAGTGATTTTCATTAACCTGTGAAATAAACTTTAGCGTATTTGAAAGCACTACCTCACGATAGTCCTTTTGCTGTCTATTGTCTTTGTGTGACTAGTATACTCTAATTAAACCACTCTAGTCCATTCAAATTATCTTTAAACCTATCTATAATTTAA